CTCACTCATACTGAGTATTGTACATGCAGGGAGCAATTGTGAGGCATGAATAGTTTTCGTTTCGGTGTCACTCATGCCAAAGACACGCTGCAGCTTCAAACCGTTTGGACATCAAGCATTCCATGTTATTTACTGTTCTAGGAACAATTCGGTTATTCCGTGTGTTACATTGAGTCGCTCTCACTCGTACTGAGTATTGTAGGTACGTACGTATTGTATATGCAGGGATCAATTTTGACGCATAAACATATTTAATGACACACTTAATCCATGTGTTACTTAGTCTTGTAATATTATTTTTAACCAATAATAAAAGGTCGTAGAATAAGAGAATAATAATATCTTACATGAATACATTGTATTAAATTAGCATTGAAATGAAAGTATTAACCTATTAATATAATTTTATAAACAAAGATAATTTTAATGTTTGATAAATATTGTTGTCATCAAATCCCAAGACTAACAAGTATTCACTCGCGGGGCGGTCACATTCTTCAGCTTCAATCAGTTTAGTCAGGAAATATGTGGTCCCGTCAATTAACTTTAAACAATTTTGTTCCCAATGTGGGCCATACACCACCAAAATGTTTTAATCGATCAGTTGGACTGTTGATTTAAAACGTCAGAGTGTAAACTTTGTTCTTGGGAAAGGATTAAAATTTGAATATGTAAGAACTAAGTGCCTATAGATGTTTATTATGTCTGTTACATTTATTAATGCGTTGTTCTTTTAATAACTGTTGTTATTATTAAAACAAGTCTGCCATCGATATTTATAAATATTTACTAAAATATTATCATTTATAACATAAATGGTAAAAGTATGTTCAATCTTCGAACACCTCTGCTTTCCTTCCTAAAAACGCGATAATTAATTAATAATTTGGATGACAGTCATATAGAACTTGCTTTCTATTACCTTACTTCTTTAGTAGCCTTGTTTGTGTTTAATAACTATTTATTATTGAGTAATGCAATTGTTAATATGTTCTTGTATTTGTAACTATATTTATGTAAAGTATGATGTATTGTTATTGTGACAGTGTTGAGTTCAGCTTGTTCACATAAATTTTGTACGCTAGTTACGAGTAGAATGACATGGGTTCGCTTGATTCTGGAGTGACAGCCTGTCACAATATCAAAGTCGTCCCGTCAAAGTCACAATGTAGGTGGTTCTAAATATTTTATTGTTCTGTATTCATTAACACTAGTCTTTATTTCAAATTATCTGTTACTAGACTTAAGTTTGTATTAACTACAAATAGTAAAACTTAAAATAAAATGTATGTTATGTAAGATTGACGATCAACTTATACATATATACCTCATGCTTATAATGTGTTGTCTCTTGTAATATTGTCTGTATGGTGTGGGTACATGAAATGATAAATAAATAAATAAATATATCTACGAAGTGTTGAAAAATCTATTATTTTTTAACCTTTTGACCGCCAGAGCGCAAACGCATCGGCGGACCTTCCACGCCAAGCTAAAAATTTACTGTAAATACCTACAAAAAATAGTGATTCCAACATCTTATCGATAACCAATTATTTATTGCTTTTCGACCCACATTTACTCAAACATTTTTATTTTGTACTCAATTTTTTCGAATTTATATTATCTCTTTTGTATTAATGAAAGTTAAAAAGCTACATGCATGCTGTGGTTACCTATAATTGTGAATACAGATAGTCTTAAGGTATTTTATAAGTCAAAAATATTTTCATTGTGCAATATTGCTGTATTTATGTTGGTGATCCTCTAAATAAATAAATAAATAAAATCATTATTTTATTTATTTTGACCCTATTTCGAATTATACTATCATGAAACAGCAGTTCCAAAGTTTCAAACAACGTTAAACTAGACTTTAGAAATACAAATGAAAAAGGAGCATCACTAATCTCGTTCGTGACGTCATCCGCTGACGAGAAGAGACGTCTCTGGCGTGGCTGGCATTTGGCAACTGCCTCGCATGCGACTATGGATAGGATATTGTGGCAATTTGATCAATTTGCTTTTTATCATGGTTGGTGTAGGTAGACGCGCTCGATACTATTACGTTACGAATGCGATAGTTATTCGTGCTTCGCACTCAGATTTTACATACTTGCGTCAATATTATAAATATGGATATGCTATTTTATCCATTATGTGAGGGAAGTATCGGAAAAAGTTCCAAGATTGGAATTATGGAATAAGATAAAAAACATACTAATAGGCATACAAGATCGTTTATTATACGAATGATTGATTGAATTCAATGAATTTGTTTTTAAATTAACCTAATGTATTAATATAAATACGTTTTTACCTTAAATCTTCATCATCCTCTTCTACATTTTCTAACACACGAAGGAGTTCTTCAGTAGACAATTCACTGCCAGCCATTTCAATTATCAATCAATACATAATTATTATAATGAAATTGTAAAAGGTCGCTATCTGTACATGAAAGATAATTCATAAGAAAATCTTTATTATTTACGCAATCTTTATTATTTACGCAATAGAACTCAATACAATGATTTTTTAAATTTTGTCTGTTTGTCTGTACGTTTGTTCGGGCTAATCTCAAAAATAGCTTAACCTAATTGAATGCGGTTTACACTATTGCCGTTTGCTGGGATTACCATTAGATAGTATTTGTTTTGTGTAAATCGGTTCTTAAATAAAAAAGTTATGTCAATCTAAAGAATAGGTAGGGTAGATGTATAATTTTTATTTTAACTCACTTAGACCGATTTATTAGTTTCTTGAAAAAATGTAGTTATTTTAACTTATATTCATAAAGAGGAGTACAAACAACAATAAAAAAATATTAGAAAAAAAATACAATTACTGGGGAGACGTAGGTGTACCATATCGGGTACAGTAGGACTATATGCATACAAATATAATACATATGATTTTTTTTAAGGGGGGAATATCATCGAATGACTGCTACCGCCTGGGTGAGGCGGGAGGGAGTGTCTCTTACTGACTAAAAACCACCCCGTTCCTTCTCCTGCACGTCGAGCCGGAGCCCCGGTTACCCGTTAGGTTCTCCGCGACATATATACATATGATAGAATGTTATATGATAATAAAATGTTAATTCAGTATTATTGCAAACATTGTTGGTGTACTTAGGCCCGTATTACAGATTATCTTATATAGTGGTGTTTTAGTATAGACTGTATGGGTTTTTTACTGCACTTAGGGCTCATCGCAAAACAACATAAAAAAATATGTTTTACTTCTCCATTAATTGAGATCAAAAAGACATAAATATTTCCTGACATACAGATGCTATTGTTTTTTCTTCTACTTCAGTAATAAAGAGGTTTTTAATACTTAAACAAGCGACATCCCTTTGTACAAACCTCCAGAAATGATTTATGTTTGAGATTCATTCTGTGATACTGGCTATAAAACTACATAGATTTTTTGTAACCTTGTATTTTTCTATTTGTGTTCATAATTATAACAGTGCACTTCAATAACAAAACATTTGTTTTACAGTTCAGCAGATTGTTGAAGAAGTTCCCCAATTACCACCAAGAATGTTGCATGAAGCAATTCAAGTACACATATGTAAAACATTTAGAAGTAAAGCTAACCACTAAAGTTAATTTGGTAAATCAGATGACATAACCATTGAAGCCGTATCTACATTCTGTTTATACATCACCATTTAAAATCAAGCATGATGTTAATAGTAACCCATCAAGACCAAGTATAAATGTTTTGAGTAAAAATAGAACGATCAGACAGTGATACTTCTTACACTCCCTCTGATGAGCCGTCATTATCCATAAAATCTCTTCAAATGGAGTTTACATCTGACTGTAGCAAGATGCTAGAGGATGACAAAAGGACAGAAGATTTAAAAGCTATTGAGTGCACTTTGAAGAAAATTAAAAAGAGCCCCCGTTCTTATATAGGCATTCCTTTAAATTGTTATTATTTAGTTAACTTTATTCAAGAACAGACAGCCATACAGTTTAACCATATTTTACTCTGTCTAAAAAAATTAGGTTAAACAATTCATTTCGTGAACTTGCTGATGACTTCGGCATTGATAGATCTTATCCAAGCAACATTTTCTTTAAAAATATAAATCTTATAGCAAGTGTAATGCGTCCTTTTATTCTATCACTAGATAAGGAGTTGATAAAAAAGATGTTACCTATAGGCTTTTAGGCATAAATGTAATAAGGTGAGTTGTATAATGGATTGTTCGGAAATCGAAGTACAAAAGCCTTCGAAGGCTATAGCCTTAAATCAAGCTCTTTCCTGGTCTGATTACAAGAAAGCCAACACAATTAAGTATCTCATGTCTTGTATTCCTAATCAATTATATTTTATATGGTTATGGAGGCCAAATAACAAACACATGCATTGTGGAAACTTCAGATTTCTCAAAATGTTTGCAACCTAATATGTGCGTTATGGCAGATAGAAGATTTAAACATGAGGAAGTGTATATAATAAAGTGTATGTACTACGTAAAATGGGTGTGGAGACATTTGGAGTACTAGTAGGTACTAGTAGGTACGGCCTCCAAATGTTGTATATGGAACCAATTTAACAAAAGCTGAAGCCAAAGAAACTAAACAAATAGGTAGCTTACGTATTCACGTTGAGCGGGTAATACGTCGATTACGTGAATTCAACATGTTAAAACCACATGCATGTCTTAACTCAAGTTTGGTTAAAGTTCTGGATGATGTAATAACTATAGCCTGTGGTTTAATTAATATACAAGATTCTCTTATTAAATAAAACAATGATTAAAGGAGAAGGGAATGGCTCCATAGATTCCTGGGCCCAGGTGTTAACTAAATGAAATTAGCCTTATATGTAAGAGGATATAATATCAAGGCTTAACTAAGAATTTGGTGAAATTTGGCTTCCTAAAAACCAAGTTATCTAAATTATAGTAAAAGTTAGGTTATAGTATAACATTGTGATTTTTTGTGTAATTTTTGAAATACTTTTGAATCACTCACTTCTCCACTGACGAATAATTGTTAAAATCGCCTCATTATCCAAGACTTTTCTCCCAATAGGATTACTGCGACCAATCGCAATCGTACAATTTATACAGCGATCCATGTCGTCGACATTCAATCGATAGGCGTAACAGTTGTCCAAAATAGGGAGTCAGGTAATTCAGAGTAGCAAAATCCATCGAATAGTTCGTTATAATATGCAAAGCCGAGGGGCTTTAAACAATAAAATAAGGAAAATACATGCGCACTCAGAATGAAAGTAAACAAACAAGTACATCTCTGAGTCATTTTCAATCAAACGCAAACCGCTAACAAGGGTTGTCAGAAAAAAAAATACACTATAATCGATTAAATCGATTTCAAGAAAGCTTAATGAATTGATATTCATATGCATACTAGCTTCTGCCCGCGACTTCGTACGCGCAATCCTGTTTTCTGCCGTTCCGATTTCTGTCGTAGGAACCTTCTCTTGACAATAACAAACACAACAAAAAAAGATCAGCCAAATATTCTCAGATTCGAATCGATTATTTAGTCTTATTATCTTAATTTAAATTTTCTCGCTTCCTGGGTCAAAAATTGGGATCTGCAACACAAAAGTAACATTTTTTTAGTTCACTTAGGTACATTTGCATTTGTATTTGGGCAAAGCATTTCTTGCTGGGTTTTACATCCAAACTAATATTATAAATGCGAAAGTAACTCTGTCTGTCTGTCTGTCTTTGATTCACGACTAAACTACTGAACCGATTTGTGTGAAATTTGGTACAGACATAGTTTGGAACTTGAGAAAGGACATAGGGTAGTTTTTATTACAAAACATTGTAAAAAAAATATTTCGTACATACAGCGCCATCTATTGGTCAAGAGTCGGCATCAATTCAGAACTGAAAATTCAACGGGAAAATGTAAATAAATAGTAAAAAGGTATGAAAAATATAATATAATACAACTTTCAGTACAAAGAAAATGCGGAGCATAGATAATTCTATTATGTCGAGTTGGTGATTGCGCAATGGTGTCGATAGTTATACGAGTTCGATTCATGTTATAGTTTTAATTCATCGGAAAAAAGAAAATAAATAGTTAAAAGGTATGGAAAAAATAATATCAATATAATTAAACTTTTAGTACAAGGAAAATGCCCGAACAGAGTATAGATAAATAATCCGAGTTGTCACTATGCTCGATAGATGGCGTTGGGATTAAAATTGATCGCGCTATGGTTTCGTTACACGCATTTGGTTGGGTATCGGTACTGTCGTGGAATTGAGGATTGATCTCGATTGATTGATAGTTTGATCTCGATTATTACTTAGTATATACTAAAATTGTATGTCTAAATTCATTTTAATTTTTGAATTAATTAGATCGTTCCTTTTAAATTATATAGTTTTAAGCTTGGTTATTAAGGGAATAGGTAATTTGTCAAGGGAGACAGTCATTTTTTCTGAAATAGCAAATCAAAATAATATTTCGAAAATAAGGGAATAACAACATTTTCGCCATTTTTCCATCGACAATAACGGCTTTAATGCCCTAAGCGAGTATACATATCTTCAATTCAAACGCAGAGCTCATTATGTTGATTTTTGAAGAGTTCCCTAGAATATCTTCCACATTTAATTTTTGAAGAGATCCGGAACTATGTGGGTAAAACCAGAAATCTGCCGGAAGTCACTATTCCACGCGAACGAAGTCGCGGGCAAAAGCTAGTTTTTATATAATTTACATAAGTTTTATTGCTTATAGGGTATTTTATCTCCGCAATGCTATCATGACATAACCCATCAGGAGAACCTGCTAGCAATGGGTATTTTTGAGAAAATGAAGAAACCACAATTCTTGATATTTTTCCCTAGTTTCTTGCTAACAATTTCTCTTACCTCATTTTCTAAATATCTACCCCGTTTCATGGCTGTTGTATCTGGTATCTTACCCTCCATGATAATAGAAATCAGAGTCCCATCATTGATCTGGCACCAACTCACTTCATAAGCTTTAGAAGCTGTTACTCTGCCATACCTGAGTTCGTACCAAAAGTTATTTTTGAACTGGTCCCTGGATTCAGATTCAATTTTATTAATAAGGTCAACTGTCAAATTGACTTTACTTAAAAATAAGCCACAACATTCTGTTTTATATTTAAAGGCCAGTTGGTGTATTGAGACACTAAATAATTCATCACCATTATAATCATGTTGGTACTTTAGTAGCTTGCAGTTACCAAGATTTCTCTTTTTTCCTTCCTCTAAAATTTTTTCAAGGACTGTGTGGTTAGAAGGCAATATAGGGCTACCTTTAGATAAATCTTTGGCAGATATAAATTTCAAGGTAGTGCCAACTCTTGACAGCTTTGGTTTCTGCCAGTAGCATTAGACTTCTGTGCATGAAGGTTCTTCACTTCGTCTATGGACCCACGTACGTAGTGGTATGGCATGTTTGCACCCACCCTGGGCAGCAAAACAATCATGACATTGAATTGATGTTACTTTTTCTTCGTCTTCATCAACTATCAATGTAACAGCATATAGTTTTGCATGGAGTTTATGCTCGAGGCAAATCATGCATTTGACTGTGCAAATGTTTCCTACCCGTATAGTTGCACATAATTAATTGCATCATCTCCATATAAAGGTCTTGGAGACCAGAAATAATAGAAATTAATTAGAACAAATACATACATACTATCAAATCAAACATGTTCATTTTTAACCGACTTCAAAAAAGGAGGAGGTTATACGTTCGGCCGGTATGTTGCTTTTTTTTTTTTTTTTTTTGTATGTATGTACGCGCGTAACTCTGAGATGCGTGAAGCGATTTGCAAAATTTTTGTTTTGTTGGAAAGGGTATACTCCCAAGTTGGTCCCATTTCCATGAGGTCAGGATCTGATGATGGGATCCTAGGGAAACCGAGGGGAACTTTCGAAAATTATATGGGCGAGTGATGCGTCTATTATGTTTTTCAATTAGGATTTTTAAACACTACAATTTGATAAGGGTCTGGAGTCGACCTGATGATGGAGCCGATAGACAGTCGAGGGAACTCCTCAACGGTATACAGTAACTACCTTGTGTTTGGGCTTGATTAATTTGTATTGATGAGGACTTTACACCTAGATAGAGTAGGGCTGTCATTAAGGGTCTGATGATGAAGAAGTGTAATTGGTAAGGGAACTCCTCAACGGTATACTGTAACTACCTTGTGTTTAGGCTTGTATAATTTGTATTGACTAGAACTTTGCACCTATGTAGATTATAAGTAACAAAACGGCTATATGTAGCTTTACACTGAAAATGATAAAATAATAAAATAAAAACTGCGTTTAAAAAACCGACTTCAAAAAACCAAAAACTAATAACAAACAAAAAGTCTAAACTAAAAAGCAAAAAATAACTATTATTAGTACTGATAGGTTACCCACCCACTGATAGGTTAGAACTCGGTGCCATAAGCTCATATCATAATGATATAACTGTCCACAAAATTGTGAATTAGGTACCTATTAAGGTTTTAATGAATAATTTTGTATGGAACTTATGGCACCGACTTCTTACCTATCAGTGGGTGGGTAACCTATCAGTACTAATAATAGTTATTTTTTGCTTTTTAGTTTAGACTTTTTGTTTGTTATTAGTTTTTGGTTTTTTGAAGTCGGTTTTTTTTTTAATGTAGACTTATTCAGAAGTCAAAAATTTTGTGTGTCAACCTCAATCTAAAACTACCATCACTTCTCATATTTAGGTGTTTCGAAGTTATACAAATTTTCTCGTTTTGTTAGTTAATAACTGGTTTAGCAAAACATACCTAAACTGTAAGGGAGCTAACCTCAAAAACAAAGATAAGTTTATTGTAAAGATAACCTATAAAAGTAAATCGAAATAAACTTCTACGAGTTTAAAACGAGTCTGATTGCTACTTAGTCATATTTATATCTAGTGTTAGAGATAAAGAGATAAATACAAATAAAATATACCTACAAAGAGGTTTTCACGTTTCTAAATTCGGAAGAGCGAAATTCTTTATTTGTTGCAAGGAACTCGCCCAACATCAATAAATCGATCCTGGGCAAATTTGCATTGTTTGCCTTAACAAAGCCTGGTTCCATTGTTATAGATAGATTCGTGTTGTAAAGTCGATAAATCACAAAAACAAATATATATAATTCGTAACGCATAATCAGTATGTAAGTAATCAAAACACAGTGAAGCTTACATAAGTATGACGTCATGTGCTGTGATTGGTGTTTCAGTCAAAATGGCCGATTGCAGTATTTTACTCTTTTATTTTATTGAAAATCTTCTTAATCTCAAATGTTGTGCATTAGCAGTAAGATGTTAATTCCTAATTTTAAGTTAATGATAAAAATGTACCAACAACTGAATGTCCAAATAAATAAATAAAAAAAAATCTCAATTTTCAAATCTTTGATAATATACTGTCGCCACGCCTATTTCGGGTTGTTCTCACCTAGCTAATGGAGAATACTTGTATAGACATAACCTTGTAGCCACGATTATTCATTAACAACTTGCTTTGAAATATAAACTATTAGAATATGAAGTGCCGTATTATAAGTACTTACCTGCCTGACCCAGTTCTTGAAAATGGAGATGTCACACTGTATTGGGATCGAACTATCATCACAGACATGTTTGTTGCAAACAAATCTGACATTGTGGTGATAGATCGACCAAGCCATCGCACAATGATAGTTGATATAACAATCCCACATGACGAGAATCTCGTGAAAGCGGAAAAAGATAAAGCAAGTAAATATCTTGATTTAGCTCATGAGATTCTCGACATGTGGGATGTGGATTCTGCAGTCATTGTGCCGATAGTCGTATCTGCCAATGGCCTCATTGCTAAAAGCCTCGACCAACATCTGAGTGGGCTTTTTTTTAAGGGGGGAAAATCATCGAATGTCTGCTCCCGCCTGGGTGAGGCGGGAGGGTGGGAGGTAATTTGAATTTCTCCCGTTACTGGTGGGCTACTGCTTTTTATGTTTTTAAATGTTTTTTTTATTCAAACAAATATTTAAAAATATATAAGTCAAGTATACTAATAAATAAAGAAAATAATAATAAAGCCTTTGTTAA